GCTCCTCCATGGGTCTGACAGCTCCTCATGCTTTGCAGGCACTCTTTTCTCTCACAGTTGAAACTCACGGTTGTCTGAAATTTTTGCTAAATGTGTCGAAGCTGAGCCTTACTTTACTGAAAGGCAGAGGCCCTGGACTAAAGCGTGGCATGTCTGAGAAAGGAGGAATCCCGCAGTGTGATCTTGCTGGGTCTGCTGTTCGGTGGCAGAGAAGCTTTTAAAAGAGCCTTTGCATCGTGGGTACCACAGGGCTGAGGTCCCTGGACTGAATACATCCCCTCCAAGGGGGAGCTGTGCAGGAGCCAAGTTGCAGCCTTGCAGCCCTTCCATTGATGCAGTTTTGCGCTGAAAACTCTGCTGGTTCCTGCAAATGGCTTCTGCTGACTTGCCAGATCTTCGTGGAAGATGCAGGAGAAACCCTCTGGACCAGATACATACCGAACTGAATTAGAAGTACAGCTAAAGAGATAGGTACAGTCCATCACAGAGTCACCTAGTCACCTCCAGTATTCTCCTCCACTTGGAACATTTCTTAGGCTTTATTGAATAAATGTCAGCATACTCCTCATTTGTTAAACAACTTCCCAATTGTGCCACTGCTTGTTTGTGTATATCTCTCTGTATTTAGATAGATGAAAACACACACACACGCGCTCATCAATGTTTATTAACTCTTACTGAATACAGCAGCAAAGTCAGTCCCTAAAGAAAGGATGTGCCATAAAACTTTTCCATAACATTGTTAATGTAACCTTCATAATTAGATAGCAAGTGACATATAAATTCAATTACATAAGATACATCTTTCACAGATTTCCAGAACGACTGTGGATAGCTTAATGTGATAACAAGGCAATCAGCTGTATAGCAATGCTCATGGTCTTCCTTCCACATTCATTGCTAGATTTCAAATGAGTAATGTTATCCTGGTGTAATGCTGATGAGAAAGGAGATCCGGCCTCCCTCTCCTTTGTCATTAGAGTGTGTCCAGTTTATGCGACGTGCTTGGCACCAGCAATATTTTAATATCGTTAACAGCAGGAAATACTTTCCTTGCCAGTAATGAGGTTCAATGTCAGCTAAAGGTGGTGCCCCACAGGAAGGCTTTAGACAAAATTGTTATATTCTAATATGAAAAAGGCTAGAAATACGCTATTTTTGTCAAAGGCGTTTTTTTCTGTATGGAGTGATCCTGGCTAATGAGGAGGGGACCTGCCAGAGATATTTTTAGTTCCACCCGCTGGTTTCACTGCTATTCTTGTAGCTATGGCTGGAAGGGAAATTAGGATGGTGGTGTCTGTTATCATACAGAAATGGAAGAAGAATGGAAATATCTGTGTGTGTGTAAAGATAAAAGATAAAAAGAACAAGAGCTGAAGAGAAAGCGAGCTTCCCTGTGTAGCTGCAGATGTGACATTCATTGTACCTTTTCCTTTTTCTTCTGCAAGGCCAGGTTTGTTGTCTGATTTAAGGGATAACAGTGTGCCAGGTGCAGTCTGTATTGCAGAATAAGATCAGAGTTCCTACTTGGAAGTTGTTACAGTTAAGAGAAACCATTAAATAATTGCCTTTATTGTTTTGGAGACATTATCCAGTACTTCAGCATCACACTAATGCTCCTCTGAAAATAGTGAGGCTGAGAGTTATTCACCTTATAGATCATCACTTGGGAGAGGGAAAAGACATCAGTGAATCATATACAGAATAACAGGACATAAAAATAAACATGGAGTCAGTCAGGGCTCCTTGCTGCTGCTATTGCAAAGCAGCAGCGCAGGCTTTCTTCATTAGCAGAAAAGAGTATGTATACAAAGAGGACTTTACTCAGCCAGAGAGATCATTTGGTATGCCTTCTTTCCTTTCTATTTCAGTAGGGATTTTTTCCCCCACTCTGACTGAGAGGAACAAGTTTTGGCTTTCACTGTTTCACTGGGGAGATGAGGATTATATTTCAAGCTCCATTTTATTTGATATTTGCTTTGTCCTGATTTTAAGACTGAGATATGGGTGTACAAAAAAGCGACAAGATAGGGAGACACAGGGTGCCTAGACTTCAGGAACTCCAAAATCAGAACCCTGTAAAACTTACAGAAAGAATAAAGGAAAAGATGAAAACTTGCCCAATAAGTTGATTGTTGGCTTTTTTTTTTTTTTTTTTAGGAAGCCTCATGAGTTGGGGGGCAGTGGTGATTCAGATAAATATTTTGTAGTGATAATTCAGTTTCTTCTGTAAGGATAATCTTGTGTTTAAGACTAAAAGCTAAGACCAGAAGTTGTAGGTTCAATTGCCTTCAAGAATTTGAATACAGTCTGGATCCTCTGATGATGATAGTCCTGATCTCAGAGGGACATCACTGAGAGTTGCTTGCTGCTTCATCCTCTTGCATCTGACACAAAATTGCTCAGCTTTGCAGTGCACTTTGCAGTGACGGTGAGGGGCTTTTGTGTGGAAGAAATGTCAGCCAGATGAGGAACTGAAAAAAAAAAGTGAAAAAGTTCTTTATGGAGTAATGTCTTGTCATCCCATGATCAGCGAGTATAAAGAAAACCAGTTTCAAAATTTTGCCTTTTTTTAATCTCTACCTTTTTTAAATTGCATGGATGAGTCATGCTTAAAAAAAAAAAACAACCCATCTCATTTAAAACTTTACTTCAGTCATTCACACAAGCTAGAGATTGGTCTGAAAGATGAGGTTTGATTTCTGAGCCTTTTGTGGCATTTGCTACCATTGTATAGTGAGAGCAAAGCCACATCATCTACTGTATTTTCCGAATCTGGGTACCAACTTTGGCCTGATCTGGTGGGCAACAACATTAGGCAACATCTTTATCCATTTTTGGTTGCTTATTAACCATATCAGTCCATCAATACCCCACATCTAATGGTGTAAATTGAATTATTTTTTTTTTAACTGGCAAAAAATGAGTTGGGTTTTCTTTTGCAGCTTCTATCAGGCTGAAGACTCTTTCACCTCTGTTTAATGCTGCTTGTCTCCACCCTTTTGTGCATACTCTCTTCACCTACAAGCTCTCTTAGGATGCTTGTGGGGTGTCTCCAATATGGCTGGCTGGCAGGAGATTGCCCTGGAAATGTGTGCTGAAGGCCTTCTGGCAAAGACTGAAAGGACGATTGTGTTTCTCTTCTAGGGACTACTTATAGCTACACCATCCTCCCATGGTCTTCATGGGTACTAACATTTGCAAGAGTTGGGCACAGACTTTTTGTGCAACACAGAGGGAGGTGGGGGCACAACATGCTGCAGGGGGAAATCCCAGCTCCAAGCTATAGTACTGAGAAGGTCCAGGAGCTTCACTGCAGAAAGCCAGGACAGGTGGAAGGCATTGAAGTGATCATCAAGCTTGTGCGCAATGGAGATACTCCATTAAAGCAAAGTACATGTGTGGATCTCAGCAGGGTTTCACCTTCTCACCATTTAGCACTGCCAGAAGAGAGGCAGCTCTGGGCAGGACCAAACACAGACTTTCACATGCCAAGAGAGCTGTATTGACAACAACCACAAAGCTCCAGGCTGGCGTGGGAGCAGAGCCAGGGCAGAGGACTACATTTTGGGGATTGTGCCTTCCCTGGCTCATTCTGAGGGATCTCTGTTTCTGGCACCGTATAGCAGGCATTATATTTGCATATGATATCACTTCTGTAGAAGAAGCAGCCTATTCATGAGCAGTAGCATCTTCACATCAAATACAACTGCAGACATGGCTGAGAAAACAACCATTTAATTGAAGTAGAAATAACACTGAAAAATTCAAAGAGGGTGCAAAAAGTCCCAAGTAGTTATTACTCACTGGAAGCAAATCCTAGACATGTAAAGCATGGGATGCACACAAAGTGCTGGGAGAAACAGAATTTATGGATAGACATACCTCTGCCCTTAAAACATGTATCATTTCTTCAGATGATATCCCAAACTCTCCTGAGATTAAATGAATAGTTTGAGATAATCCTTTTCCGATTCCTCTGGCGTACACAGCATGCTGCAAGAGACAAAACCTCACTCCTGACAGCTTGGTCCCCAAAAGTTTAGAGGCTGCTGCCTGCCCCTCCGGTGGGATTCCTGCAAACACAGCCTGCCTCTACAGTGGGTTCACGGTGTGATTCTCCCGATGTGTGTGACCATGCTGCAGGTGCTGTGCCCACACAGTGATGCTGTCCCTGCCCGATCTGTCACTGCCCAGGCTCCTGCCTGTGCAGACCATTTCAGAGCCGTGTCTGAGAGGCTCCAGAGAGTGCCGGGAGGAAGCACAACCACTGCAAAGTATTTCTGTCCTCGGTAGTGCTTATCCCAATCAGTCGTTGCAGCTTCCTTCTGTAATTTCTTCCCACTTCTGTTGCAGCTGTCTTGAGCTTTCAGCTGTTCTGCAACGAGCAAAGGTGCCAGCACCCGTTAAATCACTATAGAAGAGTCAGGGTGCACTCCCCATCCTGAAAGAAAGGACGAAGCGTGGGGTTTGGTTTTTACCCCTTGCAGAAGACAAGCGCTTGTCAGAGATAACTAGGAGAGGTCTGGAGGTTATTCACAAATTAATTAGCCCCTGAAAGGAGAGGACTGCAAGCAATGCCAGATAAGCCTGCAGCAGCCGCACCCCTGCAGCAAACAGTTAATATTCCCTTTCCTCTCCAGGGGCACGTCAGGGGTTAATTCAGTAGCTGTGCATTTAATAGCTCAATTTAAAGGGGAAAAAATGACACCCTTCTCCCCTGCCTTGCTGGTTGTGGATGGTTTGCTCTGCCTCGCTGATCACATGCTCCCCGAGCCCCGGTGCTGCAGAAGCCCCAGCTGCTGGGGCTGGGGCTGGGTGCTGGGTGCTGCCCGGGTCCGGCCCTGCCTGTCAATGCCTCGCAGTCCTGGCCGCCTCTTTAAAGGAGGGAGTGCACAGGATCAGCCCCTGAGCATATGGGTGGAAATTTGGGAGGCACCCCTTCTCTCACTACCATTTCCAGCTCTAACCATGTCTATTTGTTGTTGTCTTTTTTTCAGGGACTATGGATCTTCAAAGAGAAAATCAGGTAAGATAACAGCCTTTCTATGTACTGCATCATTACAGAGAGGACTTCCCAACCACCCCACCCCCCCCCCC